ACGTGGATTACTTCGAAATACAACCTTGGAAATCAATAAGTGGTTGCATGAGCTTTGCGATGTGGGCATAAAACGTTAGTAAAAAGTTTGATACGTCGAGGCTGTTTGTTGGAAGTCGGTTCTAGATATTGAAAAATGACTGGTAACAGGTCTTAAAATTGAGAAATACCTATGAAAGAGATTAGATCACTTTGCGATTCTCAGATGTTGTAATGGCGACAAATATATTATCCAAATAAAGCAAATGTTTCTATGGGGCCTCGAAATACATGGTTTTCATTAAGCTAAAACGTTCGAGGTGCATTTCCCAAGCCGCGAAACATACGGAGAAGCTGAAAAGGATACCAAACGGTTTGGTCACAGCGGTTTAAGAAATATGCGAAGGGTGTACGAGGATTTTGATTTGAGCTCACTTTCGCTTGTCCAAAATTCGTATAAGACTTGTGTGTGCAATAATGAATATCGTGCGAGTGTGATGATGCTGTTCAGGGACCAAAAATCACCCCGGATATTCCATACCTTGCAGGACTTCTTTCAGATCATATACAAAGGGCAAGTCAGTATTTATCAATCTCAGCAAATCGTTAATAAAAAACAAGACAAGAAATAACTCTCTATGTTTCGTGATAACGGTCCTTTGGTTTTTGTTCGTTCCTTCGGCCGTTGTTCTACGTACGAATTCGTGGACACTATTAGTCTAGACACTAACCAAACGAGCCAAAAGAACCAGCACCGGAACGCATGAATTTGTCCCTCTGCAAATTTTGCACCGGTCATTGATCACAGTAGGAGTTCGATAAATCCATAGAATATGACAGGCAGCTGAAGAGAAGATCATGTTCCTCAGTGAAATTCAGATTCAACGAGCTAGAGAATTCTCGAAGATATGTTTCATCGGTACGTCCGGTTAGAACTCTGATAGATGGCATTCTAAATGAAGCTCGTCTAACTGAACCCGATCAGATTAACTGAGATTACTTTCGGAAAACCTAGACACGAACCATATTTCAATCCACTCTATTATTTACACGTTTCACTAGCTCAACATCACTCGACCCGTACACACGAATTTGACTCCCTATCCAAGTTTTATATTTGCACCACAACCCGATTTGTTGACTGAGGTGATTTATTGCTTGCCTGGAACCAATTTATTTTGTTCATGGTCTTATCAATCATTTTTGACTCGTTTGAGTGCATCATGATGGTTAACGTTTTATTCTGTATGTATTGATAGCACTCTTTGGTTGTACCAAAATTTTCGCTATTCCGTTGTTTGCAGTTTGAATGCCAGTTTGCGCTATCCGATTTCGACATCAATTCTAAATACTCCACTAACTCATGTGAGGTAGTTCGCATCTCGCTCGAGACAGACAAAGCACGCGGTTTGCTTAAAATTACAACCAAACCGCTCCCCGTTGAACCGACTCCAGTGATACGCTGGAATGCACAACCAGACTAACTTCATTTTCAAATTCAGTTGCCCAAGAAAACACCCACAGGAAGAGGCCTGATATCGTCTGGCCCTGGCCTGTGAGTCACGAAAAAATGACGCACTCACTCGAACGAGCCAAAAATGATTGATAAGACCATGAACAAAATAAATTGGTTCCAGGCAAGCAATAAATCACCTCAGTCAACAAATCGGGTTGTGGTGCAAATATAAAACTTGGATAGGGAGTCAAATTCGTGTGTACGGGTCGAGTGATGTTGAGCTAGTGAAACGTGTAAATAATAGAGTGGATTGAAATATGGTTCGTGTCTAGGTTTTCCGAAAGTAATCTCAGTTAATCTGATCGGGTTCAGTTAGACGAGCTTCATTTAGAATGCCATCTATCAGAGTTCTAACCGGACGTACCGATGAAACATATCTTCGAGAATTCTCTAGCTCGTTGAATCTGAATTTCACTGAGGAACATGATCTTCTCTTCAGCTGCCTGTCATATTCTATGGATTTATCGAACTCCTACTGTGATCAATGACCGGTGCAAAATTTGCAGAGGGACAAATTCATGCGTTCCGGTGCTGGTTCTTTTGGCTCGTTTGGTTAGTGTCTAGACTAATAGTGTCCACGAATTCGTACGTAGAACAACGGCCGAAGGAACGAACAAAAACAAGTAGACTTTTATAACGATAGCCACACTTTGTTTGATTTGTAATTAGCTGTAGAACATCGAAAGAAACGTACTGGTGAATAAGCATGCATAAAGTGATAATCGACGTACCGTGACCAACTCCTTGGTCTCACTCCCGCAAAACAGCAAGGACCGGATAAGTAAAGTAAATTTTGTGGAGAGGCTTCTCACTGTCACTGCAATGCTCCTTTTGAGAAGTCTTAGAAGAGTCACCAATAATTGTTCATGTGGGTGCAAATATTTTTGTTCTGGAATTCAAGTGAGAAATGGTTACATTCACTGACTGCACAATGTCCTTGGCAACGTTTGTGCAATCTCATATAAATTGAACACCGATTTTAAACTGTAAAAAAGCTGTAGCTGAGAAAGCCCCGCCGAATAAACTGAAACAACACGTGGTAGATTCAGGCAATGATGTCTTACAAACTTGTGATCGCTGCATACGGCGCAGTTTGAACACTGTTGCACACCGTAGAAAGACAGTTTCTTGCAAATAACTGATTAAAAGTTGGGGATCATAATAGGACATAGGATTCAAGCCTTAGCGATGGGTAAACAGTGGCTATTTGGTATAGTCCAGCAGGGGAACGACGACACCTGTTTTGGGGGGCCGAAATTGCATGGAGTTAATCGATCAAATCATTTTCAATCACAACGCGTCTGACCGCAGCGATCAAATCAATCATATATATCCTTTGTGGTTGATTTTGTTTTTCGTTTGCCCGAAGTTTGCGCACCATCTTAACGCGTACACTGTTTGCGATTTGTGCTGGACGGTTTCGTTTCAGGCGCAACTTTCTGGATTTTAGTAAAACAGGCTTCTCAATGCCACATCAGTTTAGTCCTGTGAAACTTTGCGTAAAACGCGCTAACAAAGACAAAATCCTCTTCCAAGTGACAGTGAGCTTCGTACAAGGCCTTTTCACTGTGCAGATCCAGGAAACTGGGTAACTCGTCACACGATACTCGGGAAAATCGGTTCCTTCTGGATAAATTTTAAAAATATTGAACGAGAGCATGATACACTCGTCCGCTTGACGTTGTATACAAATATCCTCCAGTGGAAAGCAGTTTTGGATTTTGAGACGCATTTAATTCATCGGGCCGAGTACCGAAGCTCGACAGCGTCGCGTAAATCAGCTGGAACTGACAGAGTACATGTACAGTGTATGAATCAAATGACTCAGAGAAAGCATTTTCCAATGCGGACAGAGAGTGAAAGCGTCGAGCCAATGTTACCAGTCCACGTTTTAGGTCATTTGGTCCATTCAAGGTGGAGATGTCACCTGCGTTCATTATGTGTCGGACAATGGCAATGGCGTGAAACGACATGAGGTATAGGCATATTTTGGGGTGACTTGTACGGTCCGCTAATTCACCGTATTTAAGCCAGACACAAGCTAATAGACCTAGTGCGTGTAGCCAGGTTGAATGTGGTTATGTTGGGTCAAAACACTTGGAGAGCACATACTGTAGGAATTCGATAAAACAACCCATCGTTTGAATTAGATAAATATATGCGTTTAGCTTGAATGGATGTTCTAGATGCACTTGTTTGAAAACCAGTCTTACACACGTACTCCGTCATGAACCACGGTCTTTCGCTGTCATTTATTAGAGCTGGTGGGCACATGCCCTGCTCGAAGAACTCTACAACTGAGCACAGCCCAGAATGAGGCCACACATAAGAGACTGAATCCAATCAGTGCATGTCTAGATGGACGGTCACTCGCGGATTACTTCATAATTATAGTTAAGCACAGAGACACAAAGATACAATGCGTCTATGTACACCTGTAGGATATGATAACGTCGACACTGACTAATTTGTAATTCTGGCCAATTAAAAATGATGAGCTGATGTGATTGGTGAATCTGGAAAAGGGAACCTCAAATTGAATTTCGTAATCTCCTCTTTCGTGAAATCCTCACGCTCATTTCGGTCTGTGCTCTCCTCCTCATTTTTCGAGGAACATTTGCTCGGTGATGCGTTTTCCGTTTGCCAATTCTCATCCGTTACATCTAAAAATACTTGTGTGGATGTTTTATGCGGTGCGTTTAATGACGCAAATGGATACGGGACGGTTTGAAGATATTCAGACGCAGTACA